CTGGCAATGCTCAGGGGTTACACCTGGCTTTGCACTCAAGAATTACTCCTGGCAGATTCAGGTGACCATAAGGGATGCTGGGATTGAACCCAGGTCTGCAGCATGCAAGGCAAACACCCTACTCACTGTACTACCACTTTGGTCCCTTAGTTTTCTTATAGTTGAGTTTTAAGAGTTTTTCATAGGGGCTAGAGTGTTAGTATAGCAGGTAGGACGTTTGCCTTGCACACAGCCAACCCAATTCGATTCCTAGCATCCCATATGGTTCTCCGAGCACCATCTCATATGGTCCGCCAGGAGCAATTCCTGAGTGCAGATCCAGGAGTAACCACTGTGCAACGCCGGGTGTGACCCAAAATGCAAAAAGGGAAAAAAAGGAGGTTTCCATAGAATTGGTATGAATTTGTTTTCAGTTTCAAGACCATGGTGGTGCTCAAAGCTAATTCTGGTGTGCTGCTCAGGTGTTCTCCTGGTGATGCTCAGCGGATCATACAGTGCCAGAAGCAGAGCTGGGGCCTCCTGCATGCAAAACCTCTATCGGAACCCTTGAAGCTGTCTCCTTAGTCCTTGGTAAGTCTTCTATAAGACTTTAGGTATTTTGGTAAATAATTTATTCTGGGATTGCTCTTCTTAGGCTTTGACAATGTCATAGAAACGTTTCCGTTTGTTTTGGGTCCCACGCAGCAACGCTCAGGGCTTACTCCTGGCTCTGCACTCAGGAATCACTTCTGGCAGTGCACAGGGATGCTGGGGATAGAATAATTTGGGAAATTACATCAAGCTAAACAATTGTTAATCTATGTGCTAATAAGCAAGAGAACAATTTTGAAACGCACTTCATAGTTCACATTTTTCCCTATAGCATCTGTCCACCCTACCCTTCCATGTTTATTTTCTGGTGCTATTTATGGACAATTGGTTTATTTTCCAAACGGGTGGGGAATGTTCAGTCTCAGGTCTAAGGCCTGCAAAATCATGTGATCTGGACCTGGTACAAGATGGTGAGGGGGTGGGGCAGACACTGGTGCTGCCCGCCCATCTGCCTGTGAATGATGTTATAAATATCCAAATGGCTATGGGCAAAACAAAACAAAACAGCTTCCTCATCCCAGCTCTAAAGGAAGGCACTGGGGGGCTGGAGTGCTAGCACAGCAGATAAGGTGCTTTGCCTTGTATGTAGCTCACCCAGATTCTCTGCATCCCATAAGAACCCCCTGGGTACCCTCCCCCCCATATATATTTAGTACAATTTCTTAAATGTTTGGTAAAATTTGCAAATAACTCTTGCATTAATGTCTATTTGGGAACATTATTGTTCAGTTTCTTTGATAAGCCTATTCAGATCTTTTTTGTGTTTAAGGACAAACCCAGTGTGCTCAGGACTTACTCCTGGCTCTGTGCTCAGGGTTCACTCCTGGTGGGCTCAGGGAACCATATGTGGTACTAGGGTGTTGGAGTACAAGGAGCTTAGGTTTATCAGGTTGCACCCATCACAGTGCTCCCGAGCCAACTCCCATTACTTTGTTTGTCTGTAACTACTTTTTTGTGCTCTTTCCCCCAACCAATTTGTAAGGTCTTATCCTTCTAGGACACTGAACTTGTTCTGTAAGTTAATATTGCCTTTCTCCTCTCCTTATGTCTTTTGAATAGTTTAACGCAATGTCCTTTTTGTATAGATACAGGAAGACAATTAATATTATGCTTTATAACTTAGGATTTAATTGGCTTTGAATAATATTATATTAAAGTAATGGGAGTGACTCGGGAGCACTGTAATGGGTGCAACCTGATAAACCTAAGCTCCTTGTACTCCAACACTGGGGATCAAACCTGGGTTAGCCTTGTGCAAGGCAAGTGCCTTCCACACTGTATTATCACTCCAAGTCCCCTTTGTATTTCTTCTTATGTGAGCTTTTTGTAGCTGTTTTTTAAGGGATTGGTCTCTTTTACCTGTAGCACTGTAGCACTGTCCTCCCGTTGTTCACTGATTTGCTCAAGCAGGCACCACAACAAATTGTGAAACTTGTTGTTACTGTTTTTGGCGTATCAAATGCATCATGGTTAGCTTGCCAGGCTCTGCCGTGCGGGTGAGATACTCTCAGTAACTTGCCAGGCTCTCTGAGAGGGACGGGGGAATCGAACCCAGGTCAGCTGCATGCAAGGCAAACACCCTACCTGCTGTGCTATTGCTCCAGCCCCTCTTTTATCTAGATTGCTAAATTTGTAGGGTTAGATTTTTTTTGTTCTGTTTTGTTTTAGGGTCACACCAGGCAGTGCTCAGGGGTAGTTACCCCTAGCTCTGCACTTGGGAATTACTCCTGGCAATGCTCAGGGGATCATGTGGAATGCTGGCACCAAACCGTGGCTGGCACATGCAAGGCCAACTCCCTACCAGCAACTACTGCTCCAGCCTCAGATTAGAATTTTCATCTGTCACTGTCACTGTCTTCCCGTTGTTCATCGATTTGCTCGAGCGGGCCCAGTAATGTCTCCATTGTGACACTTGTTACTGTGTTTGGCATATCGAGTACATCATGGGTAGCTTGCCAGGCTTTGCCGTGCGGGCTAGATACTCTCGGTAGCTTGTCAGGCTCTCCAAGAGGGGCAGAGGACTCGAACTCGGGTTGGCCATGTTGGCCGCTTGCAAGGCAAACGCCCTATCCACTGTGCTATCGCTCCAGCCCTAGAATTTTCATAGTAATTATTGTTATTCTTTTAATGTCCCAGGCAGTTTCGGTAGTTGTACAATTCTAGTGACTTACTGTTTCATCAAGGTTACCTAATTTTCTGGTACTGTTATAAAGTTGTCTCATAATCCTCATTTAAGGGGAAAATTTTCAACCAGCAATAATCACACACAGGGTCCAGAACGGTAACAGAAGGCTGAGCTCACACACCCTCTGAATATGCGGGATTCATTCTGGGATTCATTCCCCCCACAGTGCTGGCAGTGAATTCCGAGAGCCACCAGATGGCGCCAAAAACACCAGCACTACCTCCACCCCCAGAATTGGCAACCAGTGCCTGCAGGGTCTCAGGAAGGCCTCCTGGGGGAGAGTGCTGAGTGAGTGAGGGGCTCCAAAAGTGTCCCTCGTTAGTTTTTTTGCAAAACCTCTGCCCCCAAAGCCTTGTTTGTCCACTTCCCAGAGACACTTCGGGGTGCGTCAATCCAGCAGCACTTCTGACTTGGACCAACTAAGAGGCTGGATATATGTTGGCACAGGTGAACTTCCCAGAGGCGAGTATTTGCCCAGAGCCCTGCTAGTGCCCCACTTTGGATCCAGCTGGTATGTGGGCACAGAAGCCTGTCCCTGCCACAATCCGGGCTGGGCTGCGTCTGCATGTAGCGTAGCCCGAAGCACTCCCGGGAGGTGCCTGAGGGCTCTGTGGCTGCTGCTCACACAGGCTGTCTCCCCTGTGCAAAATTGGATGTGTGCACTTCCTTGGACACGAGTGGTTTCTTTAAAAAAAGTTGAGTTAGGGGCTGGAGCGATAGCACAATGGGTAGAGCGTTTGCCTTGCACGCAGCCAACATGGCCGATACAGGTTCGATTCCCAGCACCCCATATGGTCCCCTGAGCACCGCCAGGAGCAATTCCTGAGTGCATGAGCCAGGAGTAACCCCTGAGCATCGCCGGGTGTGACCCAAAAAGAAAAAAAAAAGCTGACTTAAGGGGCTAGAGCAATAGCACAGCGGGTAGGGCATTTGCCTTGCTCGTGGCTGACCCGGGTTCAATTCCCAGTATCTCATATGGTCCCCTGAGCACCGCCAGGAATAATTTCTGAGTGCAGAGCCAGGAGTAACCCCTGAGCATTGCAGCTGTAGCCCCTCCCCCCCACAAAAAATGTTGACTTGAGGGCTGGGGATGTGGCTGAGGCCGAGCATTATGCATGACCTGAGTTCAGTTTCCAGCAATGCCAAAAAAAAAAAAGTAGAGGAAATACACCCGGTAGGGTGCTGCCTTACACACAGCCAACTGGGGTTTGTTCCCCAGCACCCCACATAGTTCCCGGAGCCCCACCAGGAGTGATCCCAGAGTGCAGAGCCAAGAGTAAGGTGTGTGGTCCAAAAAAAAGAAAAAGTTGATGAGCCCAAACTCACACTGGATGACAGGCTCTCTCCAGAGCATCCTGGACTCTGGAGACTGTGATGATAGTGACAGTGTCACCAGGACCACCCACCACACACCAGCTACAGTCCAGGTACCAGGACTTAAAGCTTTCAAAACCTCAGGACAAAGAACTATCATTCCTAGAGGGATGACGGTGACTGAAGCAGGGACCGGCCAGTCACCGTCCTGCTCTCCCTGGCTCCGAGGGGGAAGGTGGGTGGGGGCATCTAGCAGCACGGCACATTCCCCACCTAACTGTCCCAGATGATGTCAGTCTTCCCTGAAGGGGCCCATGAGTACCAGGCATGACAATGCGGCCTGGGGCCAGATGTGCCCATGTGAAGGGGAGGGGCGCCCTCCATCATGCCTACGTCTGGGGCTCTCCAATCCCTGCAAACTCTCCTCAGCCCCTCCTAGGGCCCTTTTTGGGGCAGCAGGCCAGCTGTGGCAGAACGTCCTCTCCACGGTTGAGTTAGAAACAAGACTCAGGTAGGGCTGTATGTTGCTCACTTGCCTCGCACCCCTGAATTTGATGAAAGTTGAGGCGAGGGGAAAGGGGGTCTTTTCTGGAAGTGTCAGAATGAGCACAGCACCGGGCAATCTGAAAGAGGGTGAGGGGCGTCAGAGACGCTCTCACCCATGACAATCAGGCAAGGGAGACCCCTAGGGAGGTGAAGTGCAGCAACACCCAGGCCTCAGCTGAGCCCCAGAAGGAAATCCTGAGGCCTGGCCCAAGCACCCCAGGACTACTGCCCCCTCGGACGCAAGGCCCCGCAGGGCCACCATGGCTGCCCTCTCCTGTTTGTTCCCTGTCAGGATGGACAGAAGGCGGGTCCTCTCCCTGCCACACACCTGGGGAGAGACAGACAGACAGACAGTGCCAGCCACTTGTTTTGTCTTTTGTTATTCTTTATTTATTGGTCCTACCAACATTCCGTACACACAGACCCCTGCCCCCGGTGCGCTGGCGCGGGCGACATTCCCACAACACGGGTAGGCCCCGAGGTGCCTTTGATTTTCTCTTTCCCATTCCTTTCGCACACTCTGCGTCATTCCCTCTGAATCTGAAGGCTTTTCTGTTTGGGTCTGTGTATAGGCTCCTTGGCAGGAGACATGCATATGATCTTAAAATAAAGACAACATTCTGACACTAAGATAATACACAGGAAAAAAAAATACAGTACTCAGACATCATTGCAAATAAATACCCCGTACAGATGAAGTTATCATAAATGTAACATTATTTCTTATGGATCAACACTGTAAGAGAAGGTGAAAAAAAGGGGTGTGGGGAAGTGGGGTCCCTATAACTAGGAATAAGAAATGCTTATTCCAGGAAACAGAATTCTTTTATTCTCTCTACTTGTATTATTAGAATTTGTCCTTTGTTTTGGAGGTGGGAAGACACTTTTTCCCTTCTTCCTCTAGAGTACCAATTTTGACCGTTCACACCACCTCGCTCAGCAAAATCAGAGCCAGACTCGGACCTGGTTTGCTGAGGGGCTTTAGCAAATTCTGTTTCCTGAAATCAACAGTGATTAGTTACACCAAGCAAGAGACTATAGAACCTCTCAGTCTCACATTTGCAAAGAATACTATGGCTAGCCCTCACCCTGCGAGGAGCCAACGGCAGTGGCGGTGGCCCCACGCGACCCTGGCTTGTCACCAACATGCGTGGTGCTCACGCAGCTTGCTTAGCTTGTCCCATCAAGTCCACGTGGTTCCTAAACACACTCAAAGCTTGTGCTCGCTTGTTTTTTTCTGCTCAGCCCCTGAATTTGCGAGGATCTGCCCGGTGAAGAATCACTGACTAACAGAATTTTGCACAAATGCTGTTTGCTTTCCCTCAATGAAGATGCGCAGGCCCAGGGTTGGGGGCGCCGCCCCTTCATCCCTCCTGAGCCACACTCTGGCCTTCGAAATTGCCGACTCTCTCCTCCGCGGCCACAGCAGAGAATGAACTATGCTGGGACACCTCCCTCAATTTGATGAAGGCACTACTGGCAAAATTGATTACGAACAAAAAGGTGTTGGCATCGAACACCTTTAAAAATCGACGGCTGTAGAATTTCCTATATGTACCACAATTTGGCACAACCACCGGAGTAACAAAAACAATTCCAATTTGGAATTTCACTGGTTACAGTTGTAGAAAATTCTGTTAATCAGTCATGCTTCACACTGTCCTAAAACCCAGAAAACTCTGGAATTTGTAGGTTAATACTACTCATTCAATAATTTATCTTTTTTAAATTTCTTTGTTCAAGTGCCTATTACTGTTTAAACCATAGCAAAGGTCAAGTTTTCTTCTTGTTACATTGAACTATTCCTAAGAATAATAATAATAATAATAATAATAATACAATATGAAAAAACCCCAGAATCGGAATACCCTGGATTTCTTAAATGAACATGGCATTTAAAATCTGTAACTCCAAACACGAACCATAACGCCGTTGAGTCTAAAGGGCACGTGAGCAAGTGCCCGTGCTGTGAGCAGACCAGCATGTCGGGAGGCGGAGCCGGGGTCCAGGAGCGGGAGACAGACCACGGCCTCGGGGACTGTCCTTAGGGGCGGGGCTAAGGAAACAAATGTAATATCAGAGTATCAAAAGTGCACAGGCACCGGGAAGGAGGGGGAGGGGTCCGGAGAGCAGAGCTGCCGCATCTCTGGCAGGCCCTCGGCAGGAGGCTGTGAGGCGCGCTGCTCAGCATTTGGACAGAGGCCTGTCAAGGGCAGCTCGTGGCTTCTCCATATTAAAGCTTTTTTTTTTTTTTGCCCCACCTCCCCACTCCTATTAAAATCTCGGGAATGCTATTTTGAAAATAATCTCTGCAGTGGCATATCCGAACACGGTTCTAAGTGGCCTTTGGGGCTGCCCTTGCTTCCTCTGCGCGGGCCCACGGGCGGGGGCTGCAGGGTGACAGGCCCGCTGGCGGGCCGAGTCCTGGCCGCTATTCTACAGCTGGAAATGGGAGAGAACAAGAGAGAGTTAGGATGGGCACCAGCGGGACGGCGGGGATCCCGCAGCGGGGAGCGCTCCGGCTCGTTAGTCGCCATCGAGAGCTGCGTGTGTTAGGGGGCGCTGGCCCGGGTGCTCGCCAAGACCCTCGACCCGGAGGGAGAGAAGCTGCAAGCCAGGCTGGCAGAGTGAGGAAGGGGTGTGTGGGCCAGCAAGCGGCCCCCTCGAATCCTGCCTGCAGGGGTGGATGCATGACCCCCAGAGACGGGAGGGGTCTGGGCCCGGAGTCCATCAGCAAAGCAGCCCCGGAGCGGAGGGCAGGACGCTCAACCCGCGGCCTTCCGGTGGCCTGGAGTGTGCGGGGTCCGGAAACCTCAAGAACTGGAGGAAAGTTGGGGCGGGGCGGGGCGGGAGGGACGAAGAGCCAGGAGCTCTTCAGGTGAGGTAAGAGGCGAGGGGACATGGTCACAGGTCACAGGTCAGAGAAACTTCTGCATCCGGGCACGCAGACTCAGATGACATGATTCCCCCCCACCCCTCCAAAGCCAGCAGGTGAAGAGGTCCCGGAAAAGCCCAAAGATCCTCCAGCGGGTCCCGCCACTCCCAGCACTGCAGGAACCTATGTGTGTTGCCCCAGCACCCGCGAGCTGACCCCGGGTCTGAGCAAGGCTCCCACCGGCGGCTGTGGGTTTTGTCTCACCAGCAGCAGCTCTGGTTGGAGCCTCCAGGCTGCCACAGCCATTTCTTGGGGTCTGAAGCCCTGGGATCAAGTGTGGGAATGGCCAGAGGACAGGGACATCACCCCCACGGCCGGGGAGAACCTCAGTATAAAAGACGGCTCTCGCCGAGGGCAGAGGTCTGCTCAGGCACTTGGAAAAAATGTTCCTCGGTAACAAACAAATAAAAACCGGGCCTTGCCCCCAACAGCTGGGCCACCGCAGGCAGCCAGACAAGCATGCAGAGCCCGGGAGGGGAAGCCCTGGCTGCGAGCTCAGACCCCGAGGGAACCCGTGCGGGGGAGAATCTAGCCCCAGCGGGAGCACCTGCACCCGGGGCCAGGAGTCTGTCCTTCCGCTCTGCCAGGATGTACAGTGAGACCCCACCGGGCACACAGTGCCATCCACAGACTGCAGGGCCGGGTCCTCTGAGGCCGCTGTCCGGGTGCCGGGGCTGCCCTACTGCACAGACACATGCACGCGGGGACATGCTGGGTCAAGTCAGGCCCGAGCCCCAGGGGGGCCGGACGTGAGGCTCGAACCTCGAGTCCCAGCTCAGCTCGGCGCTGCGACCAGGGAGAACGTCCCGGGGAGTGAGAGCCACCACGAAGCCCGCGTGTCCGGGGGCCGCTGCCACGGCGACATCCTTCCCGCTGCGCATTAGTCAGGGTTAAGACCGGCCGAGCCCGCGGCCTCGCGGCGGCTGCTAGGTTAGTGGAGGAGCGGGCAGGCCGGTTAGCTGCAGGCCAGTGCTAGTCGCAGTAAATGTTATACTTCTCGCTGCAGAGCACCCGGGGCGCAAGCCCAGCCCCCTCGGCCCGCTCGCTGGAGCAGGCGCAGGTGTGACTTACGCTGGGCGGGCTGGGCTTGGCCTTGGGGGCGGCCTTGGCGCGGCCCCGCCGGGTCTGCTCGTGGTCGAGCTCCAACAGCTCCAGGCGCTGCGTCAGCGCCAGCTTCTGCTGGATGGCCATGCGCAGCAGCGAGTTCAGCGTCTTCTTCTCGTCCTCGGCGGCCGCCAGCTGCCGCTGCATCTCGTCCAGCTGCGTGATGTACTCGTCACACCTGCGGGCGAGAGGCGAGCGTTGGGGACCAAGTGACAGTCCAGGACACACACGCCGGTGGCACTGCAGATGCCAGGTGGGTGTCTGCCCCACTGGCAGCAGGGAGCTGCGGCCCCGCTGGCCTGTAGGCAGCCCGGGATGACCGTCAGCTGCTTTGCTCTCGAGACCCTGGGGCAGTGAGCATCGGTGTCCAGGCCCAGGTGCGACATCATCCTGGCAGCCCCATCTCAGCACCTGCTGCACAGCTGTGACATGCTACTCCTGCTCCAGCCGCCCCACACCAGCCCCACTAGAAAAGCCGAGAGGCCTCCGACTCTGAGCGGAGGACACACCCAGTGAAAACTGGAACCTTCTCTTCTTTCTCTATCCTGTCTTTCCACACTGCTGAGAAATGGGGTGAGTCCAGCACCTTGGCCAGGAGACAGTAAGAGGTTTTGGTCACACCCCCCACTGAACACAGAAACCATGGTCTGGTCCATTGTGCTTCCAGCACTGGTCAGCAGGTGGCACCATGCTCCACACAGGGACAGCCCAACCTGGTCACCCTTAGAAAAGGGCCCTGCTGCTCTGTCCACCCACCCCGACTGGGGACACACTCCCTGTGTCTCAGGAACTGGTACCAAATTCACACAGATCAACTCACGGCACAGCTCACCTGCCAGACCCTTCCTGGGGGGCAGCAGGTTCCCAGCCCTGGCCACTGGCATGTGGCCTTCAGGTAAATCCTCTGGATGGCAATTCCATCTGGCCCCAGGTAACATGAAACAAAACTGGGGTTCCCACAGTGTCAGGCCAGAGCAGGGACAGGACAGTGAGGAAAAGAAGGGGCTCGCAGGCCGGCTGGCAGCCGCCTGGGGCCAGGCCTCACCTGGTGGCGAACATGGCGCGCAGCGAGGAGAAGGTGGCCGCGTCCTCCTTGAGGGCCTTCAGCTCATTGCGCAGCTTCATCATGGTCTCGGTCACCATGGCCTTCTCATTCTCGTACTTGCTCTTCAGGTTGGCGAGGGCCACCTCGGCTGTCTGCAAGGGCACGGTGGGCAGCGCGCGCTCGGTGGATGCAGTGGCAGCGCCTCCAGCCCCAGCAGGACCTGTCCTGTCCCGTCCCCACCCTCGGTCCATGCCCGTCCCCGTCCCACCAGTCTCCTCCCCCATATCTCCACCCTATCTAAGCCTGTCCCTACACCTGTATCTACCCACCTTTCCCTGTCTCTGTCCTGCCCGTGCCCATCCCGTTGTCCCTAGCCCTGTGCCCACTCCTATATCCTCCTCACCGCCCCTGTGCCTATCCCAATGCCCGTCCCTGTGTCCCCGTCCCCATGCCCGCGGGCACACCTGCTTGTTGGCCTTGAGCACGGTGCGCAGCGTGGTGATCTGCTCGCGCTTGGTGCTCAGCAGCGACTTGAGTTTGAGGATCTCCTCCATGAGGGCCTCCCGGTCCTTGTCGGCGGCGGGGCCCAGCTCCTGCGAGGCCAGGCGCTGGCGCGACAGCTCAGTGGTGCGGTCGACGGCGGCCTGCAGGTGCCGGATCTGGTCGCGGATGATTGCGATCAGGTTGTAGATGTTCATGGGCTCCCGGCGAGGGTCGCTCAGCGGGGAGGGCAGCGAGGGGCTGGGCGCGGGGCCGCTGTCCGCAGGTCCGTTCTCGGTGGTGGTGGTGGTGGTGGCGGCGGCAGCGGCAGCAGCGTTGGCCGGCGGTCCCTTGGGCGGGGCAGGCGAGCGGCGTCCGTGGGCGTCGGGGCCCTCCCGGTAGTAGTCCAGCGCCACGCGCGTGGGCGTCTCATTGTTGCACATGCACACGTGGTGGTAGAGGCTGGCCAGCTCCTCGCTGAAGGCCGCCAGCTCGTCCTGGGCCACGCTCAGGCTGCCCTGGGACTCGCCCGCCGCGTCGCTCGCCTTCTTCAGCTCCGCCTGCAGCCGGGCCAGCAGCTCGCGGTCCTGCCGGCCGGCCTTCTCCAGCACCGACACCTTCTCGCTGAGCGCCTGGCTCTCGGCCTCGTGCTGGCCCTTCTCCTGGGCGTGCCGTGCCTCGCCCGCCTCATGCTCGCTGCGCAGGGCCTTCAGCTGCTCCCGCAGCTCGCCGGCCTCGGCCAGCGCCACGCGGTACTTGCAGGCCAGAATCTCGGGCCCGTCGATGTCCACCTCGTAGTAGTCCCCGTCCTCGTGGCTGTCGTGCTCCTTCTCGCTGTCCAGGGCCGTGCGCCGCTCCTTGCCAGCCTGCAGGCGCCGCAGGGCACTCAGGCTCTCGGTGAGGCGGCTCACCTCCTCGTGCTGCTCCGACAGGGCCCCCCGCGTCTGCTCCAGCTGCTTCTGGGTGTCCTGCAGCGTGGCCACCAGGCCCACCTTCTCCCGCTCCATCTGCAAGGGCAAAGGCGGTGAGGCCACGGCCCAGACGCGGCCGAGGTCCCTGAGCCAGCCCAGACAGGCCTGGACAGGGAAGCAGAAGGGCCGCTCCCTGGTAATCAAAGGGCTGCAGGGGCTCGGGGCCCGAGGCAGGATAGAGTACAAGCCATGTGGGGGGGGACTTGAGAAACCTGGGGAGCACCCACACTCCATCCCATGATCAAGAACCTACTCTCCGGGGGGCTGCTCTGCCTCCCGCTGGCATCGCGAGCGGGCACAAGTGACACACGGGGCCCAGGCCTGGCTCACCTGCACCAGCTGCTGCTTCAGCTTCTGGATCTCCGAGATGTTGAGCTCACTGAGGAGGTCGGACACCAGGCTGGGGGGCGGGGCGCCGCCGTCCTTGGTGGGTGTGGACGTCTTGGTGTCCAGGGGCAGCTTGGCCAGGCCGGCGCCATGCTCGAAGCCGTTGGCCAGGGCCTCGGCCTCCTCGCTGAGCTTGAGGCCATCCAGGGAGACCTGCAGGTGGCTGGTGTACAGGGAGTCGTTGATGCTCATGTAGTGCGACAGCTCCTTGCGCAGGCTGTTCTTCTGCTCCCGCTCCGTCTTCAGCGTCTCCAGCGCCTCCTCCAGCTGCCGCTCTGAGATCTCCTTGAGCCGGATGGCATCCTCCAGCTGGCTGTTGAGGTACTCTGTCTCCTCCTCCAGGCGCTTGATCTCGTGCTTGAGCCCTTCAAACTCCACCTGGGAAAAGGAGGCCGATGTGCCAGACCTGGCCGGGGGCACGCACGGGAGGTGGGTGGGAACACACGCGTGCCCAGCCCGGGCACATGAAGCAGCCCATATGCCCAAGACGGCGAGAGCCGCTCAGCAGCCCCACACACATGCCGGCTCGGTTAAAGAGGATCCCGAGTGTGACACAACTGCTTAACGAAAGAGCAGCCTGGCAGCTTAAGGCATGTAGAGCAAGCCTGGGGGATAGGGGTAGGGTGACAGCCGCAGCCGTCAAAGCCAAGGAGTCGAAACTCCCACCGACACATGCAAGCTGCAGTCCGGATGGGAGCCGGAGAGGCCGGATTCAGAAATCTCCCGGTGACTGTCTGTGCAGGGGACAGGGGTAGAGAGGAAAACCAAGGTGCGTTCACACACAGGTTCAACGTCTGTGGGCGATTAAAAAGTGTCTCTTTAAATTCTGCAGCAAATGTGCAAGAAATAAGAAACAAATTGCTGACCCATAGGATTGACAGGTGCATGTGGATCCCCAGGGCAACAGGGGAGCCCCGGGGTCGAAGCTGGACTATGGCCAGCCCCCCAAGTCTCCACTTCTTTCCCTACTCAGATGTTGTGTGGCCACTGCGGCGCAGGGAGGCCCCCTGCTTGTGCCCGGGCAGAAGGATCTAGAAGCGGAGGCTGGCACAGGGGTCACACTGCTGGACACCAGAGCTGAACAGCAGGACCAGGACATTGCAGCTCCTGGAAAAGCCCAGCCTGCAGAGCCACAGCCTCAGGAGCACTGGGGGACAGGGCAGGAGCAACAGGACAGCGGGTAGGGCAACTGCCTTGCATGTGACCCAGCCATGTTTGATCCCAGCAACCCACATGGTCCCCAAACACCACCAGGAGTAATTTCTGAATGCAGAGCCAGGACCAACTGCTGGGCATCACTGGGTGTGGCCCAAAAACAAAACCAAAAAAAAAAAAAAAAAGAAAATAATCCAGCAGTATCTGTAGGCAGGCCTTGGAGAACATGAGTGACCAATACAGGACAATGACCACCCTCCCCTCTTTCCATCTGCAGGGTCACCAGAGTGTGGGGTGAAAGTTGCTGGTGTCCATAGCCCCACCTCTACCTTGCTTCTTCCTAAAAGTGACCTATGGGCCTGGCATGACAGGGCCCAAGAGGACAGGGCAAGCCTGAAATGGGGGCACGTCCCTCTGGCTCCAGGGTCCCACCTGGGAAGGAGGGCACCAGGTCCCCTTGGAGGTACTCAGAGAGGAAAAGCCTCAGGTTTTCTATCACTGCTGCCCTTTTCCTATTTCTGATGGCTGGATGCGTTCGTTGGTCAGCGAGCTGACAGCATAGGCAGAGGTGAAGCGCCCGGCCCACACGCACCTGGTTCTGCCTGAGCACCGACACCTGCTTCTGGAGGCTGATGTTCTCCTCCTCCAGCTCCGAGTAGTCCTGCAGCAGGCGGGCCTCGCGGAACTTGTACTCCTTGATGTCATCCCGCAGGCGGCCGCGTTGCAGCTCCACGTTCTGGTTGATCTGCAGTGGCAGGAGGAGGAGGGGAGGTGGGTGGACAGTTCCGGCCAGCCCGCCATTCACGGACAGCCATGTCAGGCAGCACGGCGCGGGGACGGGGAAAGAGTGAGACGCAGAGCCAGCGGGACCCCCAGAGCCCGTGCAGGCACCACCCCAGCAGCCCCCAGAGAAACAGCAGCTTCTCGCCAAACTCCCCTGCCACACATCGATCCGTTGCCGACTCTGCCTGCTGAGGACACCTGAAGCAGACTCACAGTTTCTACCTCATGTGATTTTCTCATGACAATCAGGCTTCCGAGGGTCACCTATGGGGAGCATGTGTTCCCTCCACACATACAACCCTGCAGCAGTGGGACACGTGTGTGCCACCTCTCACACCCACCTCAGTCACAGACCCCGCCCCTTACACCATCCTCACAGTCACAGACCCCGCCTCACATTCTCCTCAGTCACAGACCCTGCCTCTCACACCCTCCTCACAGTCACAGATCCCGCCTCACACCCTCCTCACAGTCAAGGACTCTCAAGAGGCACGGCAGGCAAGAGGACTGGGGCAGGGTGTCCTGCCACCCCGGCCCACATTCAAGGGTGCTGGCAACTTTCTAGGCTTGACACTGTCCTGTGGTCAACACCATGACTGGTCTGACCAGAGTCTCAGGAGAGCCCAGGCATGGCTGCTTTTGCAGGGCAAAGGAAGATTCCAGAACTGTGTCACAGAAACGTGGTCACAGTCTGTGAGCTGCTACAGTAAGCATGACCGGGTCTTACTGTATCAGACCTGAGTTAGATGAACTGGGACTTGGCTGCTAAGACCCACCCCTCCCAACCCCCCCCAAAAAAAAGCCCACCCAGCAGTGCACAGCTGCTGAGAGTGTCCAGACTCTGGGGAGTCAGGGGTGGGGGACTCTCTCCAGGTACCTGAGAAAACCCTGACATGCCGGGGCAGGCAAGTGCTTTACATGGGTGATACCAGAAGCCAGGGATGGCCTGACCTCACCCAGACTTCCTGGGAAAGGGGTGTCTACCCTACCATGAGGACGGGCCTGACTCACCCCCACACTTCCCTGCCAGCCCCTTCTGGCCCCGCACTCTGCCCTACCACCACCCGTGGCTCGTGACGGGTGGCCGGATCCCTCCCAGGGGCTCGGGAGCCTGGACACCCCCTCGCAGGAAGCCACTGCCGGCTCCCAGTCTGGGCAGGAAAGGGATACTGCACAAACATCCCACCGCGCATGCACAGACACCGGGGCTGAGCAGGGCAGGTCCCAGTCCTCCTCCGAGCTGGGAGCTGCGTGAGCGGCCCCCATGGTGGGACACGCAGGCTTAGCGCAGGCCACGCTCAGCACCACCTCTGCCTGCAGCTGCAGCAGCAGCAGCGAACGTGTTCCAGGGACCCTGAGATCACAGCAGGGAGGGCCTGAAGCCCTGTGCTGGGTGCCTCAGGCTCCATATCAGACCTTCTCTCTGCCCCTTGGTGGCCCCCCTGGAGGGTTGCAGCAGGAACAGCCCTTCAGGCTGAGCAGAGGCCACGGGCGCAGCAGTCTCTTGGGGAAGGCTAGGGGTCGTGTCCAAGGGCGCCCATCACTGGGCACAGGGGGCTGTGTCCTCCAGTCAGGCTGGAGCAGCAGGTATGGCCTCCACAAGGACACAGTCATAGCAGAGGAGTCGGCCAGGGTAGCATCCACCCCGACCCACAGAGCACAAAGACTGGGGTCCGTGGGGAGGGCAGCTTCTGCCGCCATGCCCCATTCCCCGGCCCCCCCCCCACGCCCCCCGTCCTGAAAATCAGCTCATTTCCTGGTGCTCATGGCCAGGGCCAGAGTCAGCGGTTCCTGAGAGTTCCGGACAGGCCCTCCCAGGAGACGGGTGTGTGCGTGTGCAGGGGGGCTTAGAGGAGTGAACGTGAGGACACGGAGGGCGGCCACAACAATAGTGCAGCAATGCCACGACAATGCCAATGACAGCCATCACAGTGCAGATGACAAGGCGATGCTGGGCTGGCACAGAGCTGCAACTGGCTTTTCCGGAGGCGGGAGGACGGGCGGCAGCTGGACGGAGCCTCCCTGGTGGTGGCCAGCCCGCAGCCCACCAGCATGCTCCCGCGGGAGGAAGTGAGCTCATGCTCTGCGAGCAGGCCGCCCGGCCGGGACTCACGCCCAGCTCGCCTCTGGCCCACAGGCCTCACCACTCCTGACCCGGGGGGATGGGGCTGGCTGTCCCTGCAGCTGCTGGCCACTGGGCTCGGGCCCAAACCTCATCAGCATCCCCTCGCAGTCCTGCAGAACCTGGATCGCTGCCCTGACCCTCTGCTGACCTCCCACTGCCAAGGGTGGGTCCCGACCTTCCCCGTGAGAACCGGCCCGCGGTTACCTCCTTCAGCTCCTGGGCCACCGACGTCAGGCGCTCGTTCTCCGACTGGGTGTTGGTGAGCACGTTGCGCAGCTGCTTCAGCTCCGTCTGCAGCTCCAGAACCTTCCGCACGTAGTACTGCTCCTTGGAGGCCGACTCCTGGATCAGGCTCTCCTCCCGGCTCTCGCCATCCGCGGCCACCTTCTTGTGGTTCGTGTGGGCCTGGCCGAAAGCCTGGGAGGGACAAGGATGGTCAGGAGACGGCCCTGGGGTCAGCGGGCAGCGCTGCAGCTCCACAGCGGTTACCCAGTGACTGCCACCCTGTGTGTCCTGAATCCACCAGCCTGGAGAACAGGGAACAAACCCTTAGAAGGCCCACCCAGCACTCCATGCTCCCCGTCAGGGCAGAGAGACAAAAGCACAGGGCCAGGCTGACACTCCAGCCCTCCCGGGCAGACTGGGAAGGAGAGGGGTGTAGACCACACACCAAGTGTGCGGGGCTTCTGCTGAAAATTCTGGGGTGCCCTTGGGAGGAGGAGGGGCCACACCCTGCCCTGCAGAAGCCCAGCAGCTGCACTCAACCCCACAGCTGCCACCATCCAACGGCCCAGCTCCACCGCCTCACTGCTGGGCTCCACAGATGTCAAGCTGCTGAAAACTCCAAGTGCACCAGTTTTCGCACTGAGAACTTTGGGATCTTCTCAGAGTGGGGCTAGCAGTCCCCCTTCCTGGCTCCTGTACCCCGGAATCCCTGGCAGCCACCCCACACCCCACCGACACTGCTGTGTAAGCCCAATTATGTATCCTGGAGTTTCTGGACTGTGTGGCCACAAATACAAGTTCTACAATACTGCCATCCCACTAGAAGCAAATGAAAATTTCACAATACTGACAGCCCAGTAGGTGCACACACCAAATTAGATGGTAACGCAAAAGTCAACTACGTTCGATAAACAGAAACAATAATGCAGAAAGCTCAACTAACAACGACTTAATATTCCCATGGATGCAACAATTTTCACAATTTTTCTTTTACTGAAGTATTTTCTGATAATTCCATTATCTATTTAATTGTAACAATATAAAGTGAATTAATTTGCAACTGTTCAAGGAGTATGCTTGGGGGGTGGCTAGAAAGATGGAGACATTGGCAGAGGACAGGCCACACTACTGGTGGGCTTGCTGTTGGAATACTGAACGCCTGTAACAAACGCATCCTAAACAACTCTGTAAAGCACCACGTGGGGGCTTCTGGGTTTTGTTTTTGTTTTGAGGCCATACCCTGCAAAGCTCAGGGGTTACTCTGCACTCAGGGCTTATTCCTGGTGAGTGACGGGATGCCAAGGCGGTCCCCAGGTCTGTGCATGCAAGGTAAAGGCACTGCCTACGGCACTGTTGCTCTGGCCCCTAAAACACGGTAAATAAAGGGAACACAACAGTGTGTGGGGCTGGAGTGCGTGACCGGGACAGTCCATCAGAGGAGGTCTCAGGGCCCAGGGTTACAGCTGGGTGGGCCTGTCCTGTGAACTGTATCCCCATTCCCAGGAGTCTCCACTGGGCTTTCCCCCCAACAGAGCAGAACAAGACCCTGGGGGCTGTAGTGGTGTGGCTCCCCCCATGACAAATCTCATGGGACCCGTCTCCCAGAGGGAGACCAGCACCACAGAGGGCAGCCTTTGCTTGGGGGAAGCAGGGACTGTGGAAGGAACGGGCTGCGTGTGGAAGGACCTGGAGACGCACGCGCGCAGGGAGACCGAGAGGCCACGCGACCAAGATGGTCGTACCCTGAGACCCACCCTGAGACCCGATACCGGGGCTGCTCAAGGGCTGACGTGCACCTCTCATGCCTGATACTCCAGGTTCAGTCCTGGGCACTGTGGTCCCCAAGCACCAGTGGCAGGTCCTGCCGACCCCCAGCCATGCTGCACTGCCAGGCAGTCCACGGGACAGTCAAATCCACGCACCAGCCATGACCACTGGGCCCCGAGCACTACTGGGGAGGCCCCCAAGGGGAATGTGGGAAAGGGGCTCATTTCTTGTCTTCTCTCTCCCTCCCTCTCTCCTCTCGTTGTCTTTGCTTTCAGCGGGAGGTTTAAGAAAAAAAACATGACTACTTGAGCTGGGCTGGGAGTGTGTGGGAGGGGCCTGGGGGTGGACAGGAGGGGACCCTGGAACACAGAGGGTGGTGGGGACTGGGATAGAACAATCTACACATGAAAATTAGAACATAAAATGACGCCTAGAACATTCTACTGCATGACAGCCCATCATTAGCGGTTCTGTAAATCACTCGTGCTTCAATAAACATCAATGGAAAAAGTCATCACTGATGCCAAGGTCAAGGAACTCACTGTCTTGTCTTACAGGCATCTTCGTCTTGTTTTTATTTTCGCTGTAGTTCGGTAGCCTGGTAACCAGTGTCGGAGTCTGGTTCTGACGTACAGTTGATGCCCTGTCCAGTACCCCCCAACACTGACTCTGTCAGAACACCTCGCTTCTTGGCCAGCACAGCTGGCTGTGAGCAGGCCCTCGCCCACGTGGTCCTCCAGCCTGCGGCCCAGCCAGCTCCATGCAAGTCACGGGTCCTTCCAAACCAAGCCGGCACAGCTCCGTGATTTGTCTCCTGCATGGCCCCCGGGGAAACCAATGTACAAATCCTCTGCACAGGCCCTGCCCCACCCAATCCACTGGCCAAGCGGCCAAATGGCACGGCAGCACCGGGCCTGCTGGAGCCTGCTGATCTCCTACAGGCTTGGAAAGAGGAACCAGCCGTGGCTCCAGATGGCTCACCAGACGCAATGCCGCCACACCAGAATGGCCGATGGCCAAAGAGAGGCCAGGCCTACCGCTGCTACCCAGCTTCCGGCCGGGGGTCCGCAAGTGTCCAGCAGAGTTTCTAGGGCAGAGACAGAGCCCAGACTTGCAGCCAAGTAGAGACTGTCCTAAGGGCCGGCTCTCCCTCCTGGAAGGAGGCTGAGCAATCAGGACACGACATGGTGCACGATGGTCTGCTAACCAGCAGGCACCCGCGGAGGAGACGCAGAAGAAGGGGAACCACATGTGCCTCCAGAAGGAAATCCCAAGCCCAGGGTGGAAAGAGGCCAGCAGGCGGCAGGCCTGTGGACACGGCCGGGTGGTGCAAGCACCAGTTACATAGTGGTGGGCAGATGGAGCTGGTCAGCATTCTCCGCCCAACCCACAAAGCTGAAGGGCGAAACCTGGCAGAATCGCCCTGTTCAAGGAACTCAGCACCCCAAGGCCAGACGCAAGAACGCAAGAGGAATGAGAGGCCCCAGCCCTAGAGCCCTGCTCACCCGCACAGGGGAGGAAGCAGACCCACAAGACCCGGACAAGTTCAGATGGACAGATGGAGGCGGCAGGCTGGGCAACAGTGGAGGTGCTGCTCTCCCCCGGCTCCAAAGCCGCCATCGAGTAAACAGAGAGGATGGGCTCCCGAGGATGGGAAGGGAAGTCTCCACAGAGAACTGAGATGAGTCAACATGAAGGAGAAGCAATATGTGTGCCCAACAGCCAACACAGAGAAGGAAGGAGAACACACCACAGTATCAGGACGGGCCAGAGCAGGCACAGGGATGACCAACAGTTCGAGAAACAAAGACGGGAAAACCCCGCATACGATGGTAATCCACAAATACTCTCGGCTCACCAGCCCACAATTCAGGAACTAGACAGAGAAAGTAACATGCTTCAGACCGGGAGAGGTGGGCAGGGCAGCCCCAGAAGGCGCTGGTGCCCACAGAGGCCATGCACAAGGATGGTGACGGTCGGTCCAATGGGCCAGGAACAGGGGGGCAAGAGCCGGGGAAGACCAACCCCGAGGACTGATGGGACAGCACCGTGGCCCAGAAACGGCTCCCAAATCAAGGAAAGATGAAGTCTCTGGCCACACAACAGCATAAAGAAGCCATCGGCAACAGGATGGCAAGACCCGCAGCAGAGAATCAACCCTGGCAGAACACTGGACGGACAGCAAGACTGAAAGCGACAGACACGTAACTGTGGGCACAAAGAGACGACCTGTCCTTACTCTGGATTCTCTTGCTTGGACAGTAGGGGCCTCGCACAGGTGCTCAGGGCCCACCGGGGCGACTGCAGCAGAGGTGGGCTGGGGGCGTGCCAGGCTCAGAGGTGATGACTTGCCAACTGCTAAGATGATGGACAGCACTTTGGGTGAGGCATTTAAAAACCTTTAAAAGTTTTTGTACATTTTACAACTCTGTACATTTTCTTAAGACAGTGCTTCTGCACAGCCAAAGATTCCAGCATGGTGTAAACATGGTCTATTATATGCACTGAGAAAACAGAAAACCTCATGTGACGAGCTTTATGGCCGTTTTCACTTTATTTCAACAGCCTGGAACTGAATGTGCCATCTCTCTGAGGTGTCTCTCTAAAACAGTGCAGCTGCTACCGAAAGCAGCCTGGGGCTTTCTCAGCGTTAAACACAGTTACCAAGTGACCCAGCAATCCCACTCCTAATAAGCCCAAGGGAAATCAAAGTGTAAATCCACACAGAAACGCTTACATAAATGTTTATGATTAAAAAAGTGGAAACAACTGAAATGTCCACCAACTGGAAAATGCCTAAAGAAAATGTAGTACATCCACACTATGTAACAGAAAGGAGTTGCTGATGCATGGTATAAACACATGAAACTTGAAAATACATTTTAAAAAGGCAGTCACAAAAGAAATGTGTTTTGTTCTTTTTATGAACTGGTCAAAAATGGTCAAATCCACAGAAGGAGAAAGTAGATGAATGGCTAGATCTTATGGGACTAATGGAAAGATTCTCAAATTGTTACAGTGACAGACATGCAACCAAAAGCCACTGGACCACCCATAAAAAAAAAAAAGGCAGATTTGCAATACAGGTACTGAGAGGTTATCATGTCTGTTCCTTTAACGGTTTTCAGCACGAAGTTCTTATCCAGAGGATTATTCCCCATTATCTGTCGTGGTCGTCCCCTTTCTTACCCAATTGCCTTCTCCCGTGGACCAAGCCTCCTGGCCCTTGTTTGTGTTCTTGGGTATTGGTCTCACATTGCTCGAGCGGGCCCAGTAACGTCTCCATTGGAGAGTCTCATATTATGTTTTGTTATTTTTTAAAAAAGGGGGTAGGGAGGGGGGGGGGAATTGCGGTGGCAGGAAAGAAACTGGGGACAGTGGTGGTGGGAAACGTACACTGGGGGAAGGGATGGGTACTGGAACAC